AGAGAGAGAGAGAGAGAGAGTGATGAAAAATAGATATAGCAATTAAAAGAATGCATATTTAAGATTAATAACAAAAAAATCACTATCAATAATGAATTTTAGCATCTTACTTGCAAAATAAATTTGGAAAATAAATGCATGTGTCTGATTACATTACCAGTCTGACAAATTATCAAAATTAAGTGAGTTTATGCTTAAAACAAGAACAAATATTATCATTTAATAAATATTCTAAAAGAAAAATCACAATTTTTAGCCAAAAAAACATTGATATATTTTCTTGTTTTAAGCATGAACTTGATTCATTTTGATGACTTTTATCAGCAATATTTGATTTCTCCAGTAAATGTATCTTGATGGCAGAATGTTTAGATGTTTGTACAGGAAGAGCTAAAAACAAAAAAAGACAAAAATACTAATGAAGAAACAGATTTTTTGCAGCGTGGAGGTGAAGAGAGAAAAACATGATGCTGTTGACCACAGGATGTTGAAAACGCAGCAAAACACACAGGACACTGCAGTGAGGACGAGCAGGAACACACACACACACACACACGCTGGAGCGCGGCATCATGAGAGCGTGCAGTCGTACGATCCCTCCTCCAGCGGCTCCTGCTCCTCCGGCGGCGTGTCGTTCAGGGGCCGGGCGCTGGCTCCGGCGGGGCCGTCCGAGGGCAGCGGGTGAGCAGCGGTCAGCTCCTCGGCTCGGGGCAGCAGCAGCAGCGGAGGCTCGCTCAGTTTGGACGCTCCGGTCGGCTGGAAGGCTTCGGGCTGAACCTGCTCCACAGGAACCTCCAGGAGCTTCAGCAGCTGCGGACCAATCAGGTTCAGGAACGGCTTGTAGCCCAGACTGACCACAAACACAGAAAGAGAGAGAGAGAGTGAATAAATGTTTACTTCACATCAGAAACAGTACAGAAGTAACCAAACCATAAGAGTCAGAGAGAGGGTGGAAAACTAACATTAAATGTTTCTGTTGTAAGAAACAATGACTGACACTACATCTGGATGTTAGTGTGACAAAATTAAATAAGCAAATAAATAAAGAATATCTGACCCCACACGTTGGAATATATACTTATACTGATATGAAAATAAAACAATTAAAATAAAATAATAAATATACAAAATATAACAAAAAAAATATGTCTGACCCCACATTTTAGAATATATATTTATATATAGTGATATTATTACTATTATACTTTTTTGGTTGAATATAATTTCACTATATATTAATATATTCAAAAGCGTGGGGTCACATTAATTTTTATTTTGTTTAGTTATCATTTTATTTTTATTTATAATCATAAACAAACAAAATAAAACAAACAAGTAAAATATTATATCTGACCCCTCACTTTTGAATATATATATTTATACAGTTATATACTACTGTTCAAAAGTTTGGGACCAGTAAGAATATTTTAAAAGAAATTCATACTTTTATTCATTAAGGCTGCATTAAATTGATCAAAAGTGACAGTAAAGACATTTATAATGTTACAAAAAATTTCTATTTCAAATAAATGCTGTTCTTTTGAACCTTCTGTTCATCTGTGAATCCTGAAAAATAAAATGTATCACAGTTTCCACAAAAACATCGTGCTGCACAAGTGTTTTCAATATTGATAATAATCAGAAATGTTTCTTGAGCAGCAGATCAGCATATTATACTGATTTCTGAAGATCATGTGACACTGAAGACTGGAGTAATGATGCTGAAAATACAGCTGCGCATCACAGAAATACATTACAGTTTAACAGAGATTCACATAGAAAACAGCTGTTTTACATTGTAATAATATTTCACATTTTTTACAATATTTTTGATCAAATAAATGCAGCCTTGGTGAGCAGAAAAGACTTAATTAAAACCATTAAAAACTATTACAGATACAGTAGTGCATACATTTTTTAAGAAAAAAAAAAAGACTGAGGATTAATTTAAATAATTTTTGTTTAAATTTCTCTCTAAATTATATATCTTTATTTTCTCATTAAATGTGTATGATTAGCACTTAAACACATTCAACAAAAGACATTAATATATGAAATGAAATTTGCCAGTGATACTGACCAATCAGACGAGGCCCAGAGGTCGACAGCTTTCAGACCGGCTCGGATGCTCTGGACCGTTTCTGGAGGGACTTCTGGACTGTCCAAAAACCCCACGACCTGCTTAATGACGCCGGCATCTCGTAAGATCAGCCCGATGACGACGCACCACTCCAGACAGCCGGCCTCCATGAAGACGTGCAGCAGATACCTGTCAGTCACACTCACGTCAGCATCTCGTCATCAGACTCGACGATCGCTTGCATTAGATTCATCAGACTGGACTGACTCACCGCAGCTGCACCTGACTTTTATGTGGCCCTTTATTGGCCAGCTCCATGGAGATGTGCTCCAGCTCTGATTGGCTGAGACTGAGGGTGGAGAAATTCTCGTCGACCATCGTCCAATCACCATCCACCATGGAGCTGGTCTCAGTCAGGTCCGTGGCTGAACCGATGCTGCACTCCTCTCCTGATAAACAGAGAAAGATAACATGAGACAGATAGAAAGAAATACAGACACACAGACTGGTTAAACACAAACCTTTGTTGACGAGAGGAGAGAGAAACGCCTCCTGCGTCTG